ACGGAGACAGAGAAACAGTACAAAACCATCATCAGACTTGATGACAGAGGGAGGAAGAAGAGAAGAAAGGAGAAATAACACGTGCAGCAGCGAACTTTCAGGGATCACTGAGTGCCGGCACAAATGTTAAGTCCTTAATTTTTAGTTTTTATTTTTTATTGAAGTATAGTTGACATACACTATTATATTAGTTTCAGGTGTACAACATAGTGATTTGATATTTATGTATATTACAAAATGATCATCCCGATAAGACTAGGCAACCATCTGTCATCATACAAAGTTACTACAATATTACTGACTATATTCCCTGTGCTGTATGTGACGGCCCTGTGACTTATTTATTTTATGACTGGAAGTTTGCACCTCTTAATCCCCTTCACCCATTTCACCCTTACCCTCATCATCCTCCCCACCAGTTTGTTCTCTGTATCTGTGAGTTTGTTTCAGTTTTGTTTGTTCATTTGTCATTCATTTTTATGGCTGAGTAATGTTCCATTGTGTATATACACCACACCTTCTTTATCCATTCATTTACCAATGGACACTTAGGTTGCTTCCATATCTTGGCTATTGTAAATAATGCTGCAATGAACACAGGAGTGCAGATATCTTTTTGAATTAGTGTTTTCATTTTCTTCAATAAATATCCAGAAGTGGTATTGCTGGATTGAATGGTAGTTCTATTTTTAACTGCAAGTTTGTACCTCTTAATCCTCTTCACCTATTTTGCCCAACTCCCCACCCCCATCCCCTGTGGCAGTTTGTTCTGTGAATCTATGAGTCTGTTTCAGTTTTGTTTTGTTTGTTTGTTTTGTTTTTTAGATTCCACATATAAGTGAAATCATATGGTACTCGTCTTTCTTTGCCTGACTTATTTCACTTAACATAATACCCTCTAGGCCCATCCATGTTGTCACAAATGGCAAGAATTCATTCTTTTATATAGCTGAGTAATATTTGATTTTATATATATATATATATATATATACACACACACACACACACCACATCTTCTTTATCTATTAATCTGCAGATGGACACTTAGGTTGCTTTCATATCTTGGCTATTGTAAATCTCACTGCATTGAACACTTGTGTGTGTATCTTTAAGAATTAGTGTTTTGAGTAAATGCCCAGAAGTGGAATTGGTGGCTTGTATGGTAGTTCTATTTCTAATTTTTTGCAGAACCTCCATCCTGTTTTCCATGGTGGCTGTACCAATTTATATTCCCACTAACAGTGCACAAGGGTTCTCTTTTCTCCATATCCTCTCCAACACTTATTTGGTGTCTTTTTGATGATAGCATTCTGACAGGTGCGAGGTAATATCTCATTGTAGTTTTTATTTGCATTTCCCTGATGATTAGAGATGTTGAGCACCTTTTTATGTATCTGTTGGCTACTTGTATGTCTTCTTTGGAAAAATATCTATTCAGCTCCTTTGCCCATTTTTTAATCAGATTATTTGTTTTTTTTGATATTGAGTTGTATGAGTTCTTCATATATTTTGGATATTAACCCCTCATAAGATATATCATTTGCAAATATAGTCTCCCATTCAGTAGGTTACCTTTTCATTTTATTGATGGTTTCTTCCATTGTGCAAAAGCTTTTTAGTTTGATGTAGTCCCATTTGTTTATTTTTGCTTTTGTTGCCCTTGCCTAAGGAAATATCCAAAAAGATACTGCTACGACCAATGTCAAAGAGTTCACTACCTATGTTTTCTTCTAGGAGTTTTATGGTTTCAGGTCTTACATTCAAGTGTTTAATCCATTTTGAGTTTATTTTTTATATGGGGTAAGAAAGTGGTCCAGTTTTATACTTTTGCATATTGCTGTCCAGTTTTCTCAACACCATCTATTGAAGAGACTGTCTTTTCCCTGTTGTATGTTCTTGCCTCCTTTGTCATAGATTAATTGACCATATAAGTGTGGGTTTATTTCTGGGCTCTCTATTCCATTCCATTGACCTGTGTCTGCTTCCGTGCTAGTTCCATAGTGTTTTGATTACTATAGCTTAGTAGCAGAGTTTGAAATCAGGGAGCATATTACCTCCAGCTTTGTTCTTCTTTCTCAAGATTGCTCTGGCCATCGAGGTCTTTCATGGTTCCATAAAAATTGTAGGATTATTTGTTCTAGTTCTCTGAAAAATGCCATTGGTATTTTGGTAGGGATTGCGTTGAATCTGTAGATTGCTTTGATTGGTAAGGACATTTCAACAATATTAACTCTTTCAGTCCATGAGCACAGTATAGTTTTCCATTTATTTGTGTCATCTTCAATTTCTTTCATCAATGCCTTATAGTTTTAAGTGTACAGGTCTTCTACCTCCTTGGTAAAATTTATTGCTAGGTACTTTATTCTTTTAGATGTAATTGTAAATGGGATTATTTTCTCAATTTCTCTTTCTGATAGTTTGTTGTTAGTGTAAAGAAATGCAGCTGATTTCTGCATATTGATGCTTGTATGCTGCAACTTTACTGAATTCATTTATTGGTTCTAATAGCTTTTAGGTGGAGTCTTTAGGGCTTTCTATATATAGTATCATATTACCTGCATACAGTGACAGTTTTTTTCTTCCATGCCAATTTGGATGCCTTTTATGTCTTTTTCTTGTCAACTGCTCTAGCTGGAACTTCCAATGCTATGTTGAATAAGAGCGGCTGTGAGTTTGGAAGCAATTCTTCCTCTCCAATGTTTTGGAATAGTTTGAGAGCGTAAGTACTAACTCTTCTTTAAAAGTTTGGTAGAATTCACCTGTGAAGCCATCCAGGCCTGGACTTTTGTTTGTTGGGAGTTTTTTGATTACTGATTCAATTTCATTACTAGTAATCGGTCTGTTCAGATCTTCTATTTCTTCCTGATTCAGTCTTGGAAGGTTGTATGCTTCTAGGAATTTATCCATTTCTTCTGGATTGTCCAATTTGTTGGCATATAATTGTTTGCAATAATCTCTTACGACCCTTGTATTTCTGTCGGTTGTGACTTCTCCTCTTTCATTTCTGATTTTACTTATTTGAGCCCTCTTTTTTTTCCTTGATGAGTCTGGCTAATGGTTTATCAATTCTGTTTATCTTTTCAAAGAATTCACTCTTAGTTTCACTGATCTTTTCTACTGTTTTTTCAGTCTCTATTTCATTTATTTCCACTCTGATCTTTATTATTTCCTTCCTTCTACTAACTTTGGGCTTTATTTATTCTTCTTTTTCTAGTTCCTTTAAGTGTAAAGTTATACTGTTTGAGACTTTTCTTGTTTCTTCAAATAGGCCTGCATCACTATAAACTTCCCTCTCAGAACGAGAGCATTAAGTCCTTTACACTGACTGTCTACTTAGTCTTCTCCAAACTCCTGTGAATTGGGGATTATAAAGATCGCCACTTTACAGACTGGAAAACTGAAGCATAGGGAGGCTTAGTAACCCAAGATAACCCAGTTAGGAAGGAGGAGGCAGGCTCCGGACCCAGGCTGTCTGAGCCCCACACTACACTGTATTCCACAAGCAGTTAGTAGCCCAAACTGGCTTAACCCTGTGGTCTCTCCAAGTCAGATATTAACACAGCTCTAAAAACTAATTGATATTTTTGGTGCCTGTGTTTTTATTCTACTGATACACCTTAGCACATGGGCTCCACATGTTTACCAGCTTTGTCTGATGGCTTTTTTTTAATTGAGGAGTAAAACAAATAACTGTACTGAATACCAAGAAGACTGTTTTTAGAAGAGTAACATTTTTAAAAGTTTCAAGAACACACAAAGAATCTACATAGACTCCCGGACCTAGTACGTTTTAATGGCTGGATGAATATTAAGAATTAATATAAGCAATTAAGAATTACTATGAGTTGAGTGCTGTGGCATTTAGAAAACCCTTCTGCCCCACTAACTCATTTGGTTCTCATGTCACCTCTTCAAGGTCAGGCAGGCAGCACCATCCTGGTTTCACTCGTGATGGGAATGAGGTTGAAGGGATCTTAAATTCAGAGCTGGAACTCAGATTTCTCCCTCCCCTCACATCGCTGCTTGGTGCATAAAGATTGTACTTGCTTTAGTACCAACCAGCAGACTGAGAACTAACCCAAACATTCTAAATTCTATAAATAAAATATCATTTGGGTGCTTATCTCTCTAACCACTTTCCTTTACGTTAACATTATCGATCCTAATGAACACCCATAGCTACATACTTGGGAAGAGTCCTGAGCTACCCAGGGGAGAAGCTTGCTCTGAGGTGGGAGGCCCACAGGGTGGCACTTGGGCACCCGTGGCACCACCCCAGCCTGCTCTTCAGAGCCCATCCCACCTTGTATAGAACTTGAACTCACAACCGGCAAAGGATCCCTAGCTGCGTGCTTGATTTGAACATAGAAAGCGGAGACACACTACTGAATATCTCTTCTAGCGCACAGCGAAACATCAGTGTGAGGTGGGGAGGGAGTTTCCTAATCCTCAGAAGTAGCCTAAAAAGGGGCTCAAACTCACAAACTTTCCTGTTAAATAGAAAACCCACTGGCTTTAGGAATGGAAGCATGGGGTTCAAATCCTTACTACGATACTTAGTTGATTTCCCTTGGGTAACTGATGTAACCTTGCTGGGCCTCAATTCTGTCATCCACAAGCCCAGATAACAGTACTCGCCAGCAGAGATGGCATGACGTGGCTAGCACAGAATCTGGCACGTGGGCAGAGTCCAGTGCACAGTGTGTTGGGGCACAGAAAATCTGCTCCAGAGCATGGCTCACAGTAGGGCGAGCCTTTGCATTCATACAACCGTGAAGGGGCCACACAAGGTCGAGTTTGTGAGGGTTAATGGCATACGAGCAATGTGAGGAGCTATGATTAAAATTTTGCAGCGTTCAATGATTGTTATGAATACAAAATAACAGAGCAGCTTTGCAGTAGGCACTGTCTCTGGTCACAGCGAGTTGAATTTTTCCTGTGTCTGGCACTCTGTTCTAAGTTTGTGAATGTGGAGTAGGAAGAACAAAATATTTATTTACCTTTTCCAAGGCCTCTCTGTCAAGCAGTTCTTGCACAGCTAGAAGCTTGATGCTGTAAGAAACAATGAAGACCCAACTTGAAAACAAACCATTTCATGTCCCCAAGCATCAGACAAGCCACAAGAACAAAAGTGAAATTTCAGCCTGCATTTCTGCGTCACTTCCCATCTTAAGGTGGATTTTGGTTTGAATTGAAATGACCATTTCAGAACTATAAAAATGTTTCTAAATTGTAAAAGCATTTTACCATAGGGTCCAGCAATTCTACTTGTGAGCGTATAACCAAAAGAGTTAAAAACAGAGACTTGAACAGATATTTGCACACCCATGTTCACAGCAGCACTATTCACAAAAGCCAAAAGGTGGAAACAACCCAAATGCCCATAAACAAATGAATCAGATAAACAGATGTGTTATACACATAAAATGCAATATATTCAGTCTTAAAAAGAAGGAAATTCTGGCATGTGTTACAACATAAAGGGAACTTGAAGATATTATACTAAATGAAATAAGTTAGACATAAAAGGAAACACACCATGATTGCACCTATATGAGGTAGCTAGAGTACTCAGATTCATAGAAAGGAGAAGGGTCGCCAGGGGCTGGGAACGGGGAGGAATGCGAAGTTGTTGTTTAATGGGTACAGAGTTTCAGTTTGGGAAGAGGAAATGTTCTGGAGATGGATGGTGGTGATGGTTGTAAAAGAATGTGAATGTACTTAATGCCACTAAATTGTATATTTATAAATAATTAAAATGACAAATTTTTTGCTACATACATTTCACCACAAAAAATCCTAAACGTAATTGATAGCTGCTTCATGTACGGAATTTGAATAAATTCAGAGGAATATAAAGATGAAAATAGTTGCCCATGTTCGTATTAATCTTCCCTGGTGTCCCTTTGATGATAACAAGCAATAGCTACAATCATTGCTTACAAAGAGGGCCTGCTCAGATGCTCCTTTGTTTACCACACATTGATTGAGCCCTACTGTGTGTGGGTGGCTGAGGATACATGAGGATTAGGACCCCCTCCCCGGCCACGAGGAGCTCACAGCCTTGTGGAGGCCACAATCAGACCAGAATATGATGTGCAGTGTGCTATATAGATGGGCCAAGATGCAGAGAGGAACCTGGCCCAGCCTGGCCTAGAAGAGATCAAAGAAGGCCTCCTGGAGGAGGGATCAGGTTAGCCTTGCCAGGGGAGAGGCCTGGGGAGCAAGGCAACCCGCAGAGGGACAGCAGAGACAAAGGCACCAAGAGGAGAGAGAGGGCGTGGGGTGTATACAACTTGCCAGCTTCCAGTTCAGAGCCAGAGCCCAGCCAGCAGCCAGCAACAGAGATGAGAGAATTTAAACCAGGATGCAGGTTTTACAGGGGAAAAACCCTTTGCTTTCATGACATGCTGCTTTTGAAGGTTCATGGACACAATGAGCAGGCAGCAAAGGTTGGACTCGTCAACACAGCACAGGGGCGGAAGCAGGGGAGTTCAGTGAGATTGTTTAGGGAGTGGGTCGGCTGTTGATGGGGTCACGATGCTCCCTCCCTGCTCACCTAAAGTGCTTACGGCCTCTGTCACCCTTCCCCCTACCCCCACTAACCTGCATGGGTTTTCTGGAACAGAAACAGGCCCCATGTGTACCATGCATCTCCCTCAGAGGGGGTTACGCCCATGATAAAGTTCACCCGAATTTACAGAACTCTCCATATCTCGCTGTATAACTAAGCAAGCACGGTCCCACCAACTGCAATGGTTTACTTAAAAGCAACTCCGGGGGGGCCGGCCCGCTGGCCAAGTGGTTAAGTTCACGCACTCTGCTTTTTGGGTTTTGCCAGTTCGCATCCTGGGAGCAGATCTAGCACCACTCATCAAGCCACGCTGAGGAAGTGTCCCACATGCCACAACTAGAAGGACGCACAACTAAAATATACAACTATGTTAGGGGGCTTTGGAGAGAAGAAGAAAAAATAAAACCAAAAAGAAAAAAAGGCAACTCCAGGAAGTGCAACAAAAGTTTTAAAAACATATTAAGAAACCACCACCACCACCCACAACAATTTAGCAAACATCAAGGCGAATGGATAGGACTCCGGGCCCTCCCTCTGCTCCAACCATGCTGACTCTCCTTTGTCTCTTGGACATGCTTGCTTCTGTTGCTTCTCCGGCTTGGATGGGTCTTTCTCAAGATCTCTACAACATAGACCCGGGCATATTGTGTCATTACAGTCCAAACTTGAATGCTGTATCCCCCAAGCAGCCTTTCCTGGACACCTGAGGTCAAGCAGCGTCCCCGGTCACCACATTTTATTTTCTTCAGTGCACTTACTATAACTTAAAGCATTTATTTGTTGGGGTGCTTTTGTCTGTTTCCTTCCAACCGACGTGGAAACTCCTTGAGGCTGGGGGCTCGCTGGTCTTCTCGCTATACCTGCAGTGTCTTTAAGTGGCAGGTGGAAAGCACTCAAAGAACGTTTACTGACCGACTGGCAGACCTCAGTCACTACCACAGCTCACCCATTCCAGCTTGGATGGGTAAAATCACTGCCCACACCTCAGTTTCTCCATCCGGAAAAGAACCCCCCAAATGAGAGGACTCTGTGTTTTCTCACCTGGTGAAAGGCGCTACGTGCATTTGTATAAGTGCCTGCCGTTAATGGGATGTGCCTGGTGGCAGGTCAAAGGTGCTGGCCACTCCTCAGCACACTGTGATTCCCAACGCATGAATCCAGACTCCAGGTTACCAATTTGGATGGCAACTCATATGCCAAATTAGGAGTTTCCAGTTGTAGCTCAAGTTTCGGACGCTTAAATTGCTTCTGAAATAACCACTGGAAAATATTTCTACTGAAGGAAGTTTTAAAATAGTCTCTTGTTTCCACCCCTCTCTATGGTCATGAAGCCCAATTCAGTATCAGGTATCAACAGGTTAGAGAAAAGGTTTAAACACTGTTAAGATATTCAACTCTCTCTTTTTCCTCATTCACAAAGATACTACATTCAAACCACTGTAGAACATGATCTGAAAACGAACAATCTCAGGCTCCGAATGAAAAACAAATTAAAACAACTTTAGGCAGCTCTTATTTAGGTCAAAACCTGAGGATGGGGGCTGGCCCAGTGGCAGTGTGGTTAAGTTCACACGGTCTGCTTCAGTGGCCTGGGGTTTGCCTGTTCGGATTCTGGGCACGGACCTATGCAGCACCCATCAAGCCATGCTGTGTTGGCATCCCACATAGAAGAACTAGAGTGACCTACAACTAGGATATACAACTATGACTGGGGCTTTGGGGAGAAAAAAAAAAAAAAGAGGAAGATTGGCAACAAATAGCTCAAGGCCAATCTTCCTCACCAAAAAAGCATTAAAAAAAAAAAAAAAAAAAAACTTGAGGGTGCTATTCCCTACTCTCATCGCTTCACTTTCCCCCAGAACAGAGATGGCAAATACTTGACACACATATTGCTACTCTCCAGTCCTCTCTACCTCTTTCCATGGAACTTCTCCCCATTTAACTTAGATACAGCTTCAGAACCCTTCTCAACACTCCAGTGAGCCACAGTCTACTGAAGTTGGCACGTGAGATTACACCAATTTAACATCTGCTCTGAGGCCAATACCAAATACTACTAATGTATGGAGGGTGGGCAGAAAAAATAGAGACATTCTCACGCTACTGAAATCCAGCAACACAAGGTGAGACAGCTTTAGCGGCAAGGGGAGAAAAGATGAAAAAGATGGAAGGAAGATGATAGGATGCTCAAATCTATATAGTTTGAGTTTCAAAATGCAGACAATGCATGTTAATAAGAATCTACTGCTACAGATGCTCATAACATTGGATTTCTTCAGGAAGCTGTGGTTTTTTTCCTCCTTAGAGCTGTAGTCCTTAAGAGCAATTGAGGTGTTTCCTGTTATATAACTATCCTGACATTATTTCTTACCTTATTGGAAACTCTTCAAGTCTGGAGTATTTATTTCAGTATTTATGGTATCAGATTCTTCCAGCACATCAGATACTCCCTGGGAGGAAATTTCACACATGAAGGAGCAACAAACCCATTTATCAAATCCTCCATCCGACACCTCTAGCTTCTTACCCTGGAGGGGAATCTCACCTCTCATTTTCAAGTTTAGTCCCCCTTCCTCTCTTCCTTCTTCCTTCTCTTCCTCCTTCCCTCCCTCTTTCTGTTTTTCTCCTAATTCCACAAACACATACTGAATCCCTCCGGTATGGGAGAAAGTATGCCAGGTGGCAAGAGGACAAAGATGAACACACTATCATCCTGCCCTCAGAGGGGGCTAGGATGCTGCCGGGCACATGCCCAGCGAGGTGCGTCTCCCTGAGACTTTCCTGGGTTCCAATGCAGACCAGCAGAGCAGGGCTAAACAGGCCATGTCTGTCGGGTGGCCTGGTGCTTGGTTGGCGTCCTCTGAAAACAGCAGAGCTCCCATCAGACAGGAGCTGCCATGAACTGTAATTTCTTCTTCTGCATTCAGCTTTGAGAAGAGAGGCAAATCACACAAGAGCAACTGATAACAGTGATTTATTTAGAAAAATGACGACTTTAAGGGCAAGTACTGAAATCAAGCTGGGTAACAGTTAGAAAGACCTAGAATGCATGCAATTAATGTTTGCTAAATAAGCTACAAGAAGGGAAGGTGCTTGAGGGCAGATGTCCTATTCAGTTGGATGGCGCCTGGCACAGGGAGGTCTATAACAGAATCACAAATGGTGATGGGAAAAGTGCCCGGCAGACACCGATCACAGGGAACAAAAACAGCGAAGTTGAAGCCACAGAAGACAGAGGGCACGCCTACAGCCTGGGGGTAGCTGGGCTGCAGACTGAATGAGCCTCGATGCCCCCTGAAAAGGCCGATGAGAAGTAACTCTATAGGTGCTGCCAAAGCACGCCTAGAAGGGTAAACTCCCAACTGCACAGAAGCTTCCACTTCCAGAACAGAGTACAACCCACAGGGCACCAGAGTCAAGAATTCACTGTAGCTCCCTTTCTCTAAGGATGCTAGCACTCTAAGTTTCCACTGCATTT